CAGCAGCAAAAGCTGCGGCTGCTGCAGCAGCAGCAGGAAGGGGCCCCGCCACGGAGCCGCGGCTCACAGAGCCAGATGTTGTGCGCAGGTTCTTGCTGCAGCACGGCAGAAAGCCCCCGCAGCCAGCGATGCGGGCGCCCCCACAAAGGGCAGATCAGCAGCTGCAAATGATTCAGGAGCAGCTGCTCGAGCAGCACCGCCAGCAGTGCGCACGAGGAACTATAAGAAGCCAGAGCCGCGCCCGCGCAGCAAATTTGCAGCGGCAGGTGCATTCGTTGCAGGGGCTGTCCGACGACAGTTTGCTGCGGCAGCTCCACCTGGCTCGGGAGCAGCTGCAAAGGCGGCAGCAGAACGAGCTGCAGCAGCTTCAGGAAGATATTGAAAGGCACCTGCTGGCTTCGGCTATCAAGGAGGAGCAGCAAAGGGCAGACAGTGGACGCGAACCTGCAGCAGCAAACCTGCAACAGCTGCAGCAGCACCTACAGCAGCAACTGCAGCAGCAGCTGCGGACCACAAGTGCGCCGCAGCAGCAGCAACGCGTACATGGCCAGCAGGACCTGCTCTTTGAGCAGCTACGGCAACTCGCGCTGCTCGAAAACATTGAAGCACTTTTGACTCCGCACAGATCCTCTTCCGAAGGCCGCAACAGAGCGGACAAAGCTGAGGAAGTCTTGCCTCCGCCCTTGTCAGCAACTCAGACCAAAAGTGAAAACGACCAAACTGGAAGATAGTTGAATTGGCTGTTTCCTCGGCGTCTGGGGATTCCAGAGGGGCTCCAAGGCAGCTCTTTTGAGGCGGAAAAACCCGTCACGGAGGGATGTAGGGTAGCAGTCAAGAGTTACAATCGCATGTGTGTGTTAAGGCGCTGTGAAACGGCGCAGAAGAAGGGCCGGCGCGTGTATCTTTCTTTTCTCCGGAAGGCTAATCTACTTTTAAAAGGGAAAACTGGGTTGCAAGGACAAAGCACTGTCATCTAGCTGTCCACAGGTGCTCACAGATGCTCACAGACACTCGCGTAGCCGCTCACTGAGCAGCTCGTAGCCAACGACGGTGTACACGTAGATGTGCTTTTTGCTGCTTTTAGCACTTCTTTCAACTTGCTGCTTGGCTAGGAATTGTGAAAGAATCAACAGAATGTGTACGAGAACAGCAAACTCCACTTTCACATTCGGTCTGTATACAGTGGGGGGAAGGGCGCAGCTGCCTGCGGGGCCCCCGCCCCAGAGAAGAATGCAGCTTTCACCCGACTACGCAATGCATGTTTTTTGTAAACAAGATCGTGTGAGACAGCTCTGCCAAAGTATTAGGCTGAAATGGGGTGTGGTGTCAGGAGTTTGCACACCTTCTTGCCCGAAACAGAGCCAAGCCGTTTTCAGGTGATGAAACGCCTTTGGTGTTCAAGTTTGCACTTTAGATCGCATGCATATGCAGCTGCTTTCTGGCGGGTTCCGGGGTGCATGCGGGCTCTGGGGGGGGATGTTGAAGCTGGACTTGCCCACTGCAGTTTAAAGTTTCAAGCTGTGGCAGCAGTTTCAAGCTGTGGCAGCTTCACAAAGGAACTGGGGTCTCGCGCGTTGCAGCCTTTTAGCCTCCCGAGGCAGACTGACCCCTAGAAGCTACAGTGGAGGCCTCAGGCTGCTTCTAGAGGGAGTGATGAGTTGCCTATTGTCTGCGTAGGCCCGTCACCAGCCACCAACAATTTTACGATTTTCAGTGACCCCCCAAATACCCTTTACCAGTACAAGATGGACATGTGTCAGGCTTTGTGAGCAACTGCCAAAGAAAAACACCAACTTGGCGGACTAACTTTTCATCTGATGCAACAGCTGCCGCTGATACAGCATAGTTACTACTGACACAGAAGATGCACAGAGAGGAAATGGCCCTTTGCAGGGCTCTGTGGATAGCCATCGGGGTCTTGGATTTTAGCAGCAGATTTGGGGAGTGTAAAGCTCATGGGAGGAAACATGCATTTATTTGCCAAGTTGCAAAGTAAAATGTACTGAGACCACCCAAGAACATCAACTATTCAAGATTCTGCTGCCTCCACAGAGGCAGAGCTTGCGACACTGTCCACAAAGACCAAAAGACACTCCTGGTTTTGTTTGCTGCAGTCACTTCAGAGGTGCCTGAGAAAGGAAGCAAGAAGGAAAAAATTGACTTAAGCTTTTATGTGCCCGCAGCGTATTATCTGCTGGGCTTTCTGGTGGACTAAAGGGAGTTTTGAGAAAAGGGTCTGGCGCCTTGCAGCAAAGCGGCCGCTGCAGTTGTCCTTTAAAACTAAAACGTCTTAAGCTTCTCGACTCCTTTTGCAGAAGTTAGCCACTAGAACTCTAGCGCAGCTGTGAGCTTTACCCCAAACCCCTGCTCTGCTACGCTGTTAGCAAATATTTGGCAGCTGCTGCAGCATTTGGTGTGGCTAAGATGCAAGCAGCAGTTTTTCTTTTCTCAATTACAGTCTGCTGCAGAATTTGGTGCGGCTAAGATACAAACAGCAACTTCTATTCCTTGTTCAAAGACAGTTTGAAGCAGGCAGAACTCCCTGGAAGCCAGGAAGCTTTGCCACAGAGTCACCTGTCTCATATCAGACAGTCTGATTTCAGATGTCTTTTGAGAAGTTTTGAAAAAGCAAAGTTGAGGCTTTCTGGGGCGTTTGGCTGTGTGGAAGAGCTCAATTCCCAAACTGTTCAGTGCAGTGCAGAGCTTCTGGCTCAGGACTCGGACTCTGTTTCTAATTTGCAGAAAATGAAGAAAAAAAAAGCCCCAACAAAAAATTCTTTGGGTGCATGCATGCGCCAGTGCTCCTGCATATGGCTTTCAATGTGCCTTTTGTACTTGTCCAGAAAGACATATTGCGGTAACAAGTCCTTTGCTGCCACATTTCTGAAAAGGACAAAACATGCAGAAGAAACAACGGCTACCAATAGCTGAATTTAAATCCAATTCTTCTATTAGGTGCCTCCCTTTGGAGCATCTGAACTTGAACCCCTAAATGGAAGCACTTTGGGGCTTCTCTGGTGGCCATGTGACCATTTTAAGAAGGCGTTTTGCATGCTGATGCCCCCTGTGGTGACCACTAGTCCATTTGTGGGTGGACCACCGCTGCAGCAGGCAAAGGGCTTTTCTGCAGTCTGCTGAAACAGAACAGACTGAAGATTCAAAAGAAGCAACGGCTGCTAACAGCTGAATTTAAATCTTCTTTTTTATTTTTCATTAATTCAAAAGACAGCAGCGGAATTAGTTTTGATGATTCTGGCTGCCTCAGTAGAAAGCAGCGCTGAGCCTCACGGAGGCAATTGGCTGCTCGCTTGGCATTTAAACTTAATGGGAAACTCTGCAGGAACAATAAGTTTCTTGCTGCTGCAAGCAGCCGTGTCTAGTGCTAAGTTTGATAACAGCAGAGCTGCAGCTTTCACATGCAGTGCGCAGCAGCTAAGGGAGGTAGCCGCAGCAGCAGCAGTAGAAGCAGCAGCAGCAGCAGCAGTCAGCTGCTGTTCCTGCTTGCAATTGGCACCTGTTCAGGTCAAAGCTACTACAGCAGCCAACCCTGTGAAAGCCAAGGAATCTCAGAACTCTTTGAAGTAGAATTTAAAGTCTTTAGTGCATGCAGCCAGAGTCTGGCCTAGTGCATGCAGCCACAGTCTGGCCCCAAAGCCCAACACAGACCCCGTAAAGTGCTGCTGGGAATTCGCCCGCAGCACAAAGCCTTAACTGTGTCTTCAAAAGACTTCAGGCCTGGCCCTCTGGGGCAGCTTGAAAGCTGTAGTTGCTGCAGGAAAGTTGAAGACTGCAAAACCCCCATAAGTGCCACGGGCGGCTCTCTAGCAATTATCCAAAGACAGCCAAATGCAGCAAGAGATTTGCTTCTAAAAAGGCAGAAAGGAACAGGTTAAAGCCTCCAGTTTGCGAGTAAAGTCTTGTGTGTAGAGCACTAGTCATTTCCAGCAGGGTCACTCGGAACCTCAAACCGTAAACCCTTGACCCTAAACCCTGAACCCTAAGCCTTTGGCTCTTTCTTTTGAAGGTACATGGGCAGACAAAACATATGCGGCTTTTAATTGCAATAACTGCACCTTGCATTCTATTAACTTTTGCAGCACAGCCTTCCGGCTCGCAGTGTAGCAGTGAAGCAGTCTCATTTATGCGGCCAAGGGACTATCTGCGTCAAACTCTCTAAGCCCCCAGCATCAAATACTGAAGTTAATTCTTTTAAAGTCTTTAAAGTCTTAGAAAATAAATTATGGCCCCCGAACTTTAGCCCCTGGGCACGTCTCAGTCGCCAGCAGCCGCGACAGCGCCGGGCATAGCAAATGCAGCTCGGTGGATCCATGCAACATCTCAAATGAGATCTACACAAACAATGATTCAAAATTATGATTTTAAATAATATTTTAATTAGTAGGAGCTTGGCCTTAAGCTGCTCACGAAGCAGCAGCGTGCTGCCGGCTATCGCTGTGCCTTTCACTTGAGATCCAGCGGTTGTCGGCTGCTGCTGCCGCTGCTGCTGCTGCTACTGCTGTGTTTGCTGCTGCTACCAATTCCTGCATGTCTTGCCTCCGCTTTTTATGCGGAGAAGCTTATTATTAGCAGTTTAAAAGTAGGCCAAAGCCAGGCTTGTCCCTTAGCTCTGCAGGCGGCAGCAGCAGTAGCAGCCGCTGCTGCTGCAGCACGTGCTGCTGCTGCTGTACTATGCCACCCACACTAGCACCAGCTGCTCCCCGGCCTCCAGCTGCTCTTCGGAGCTAATCAGGCAGCAGAGAGTCTTGCTGCTGACGCAAAACTGACAGCAGAGTTCCCCAAGCTGCAGCAGCAGCGTAGCGGGGTTAGTTCCTGGGGCCCCCGGAGGGCCCCCTGAAGCTTGAGGTGGCCAAAACGCGCATAAGCCCGGCTGCGCGCCTCAATAGCTGGGCAAAATACTCAGGCAGCATGCAGTAGCTTACCCAGCAGCAGCAGCAGCAGCGGCAGCAACAGCAAGGTGCCCCAGCTGGCGGCAGCAGCAGATGAGTGAGCGCCCGGGCAGCAGCAGCGCCTCAGCCTCTGCGGCTGTGGGGGCTTCTGACGCCCCGGCGCATCCCTGTGCATTATCACCATCGGCAGCAGCAGCAGCAGCAGCGGGGGCGCCTGCTGCAGCGGCAGCTGCTGCTGCTGCTGCACCCACTGGAGAAGCAGAAGAGGCCTGGCACTACGTGCTGCGGGGCCCCCGAAGTGCCTTCTGTGTTGCAGTTTGCTTCAGGGGGCCCCCTGAGGTTCTTATACGTGAGTATGAGCACCTGGGCTGCCCCTGGGGGATATCTCGGGGGGCCCCGGTGCCTCTGAGTGCTGCTGCTGCTGCTGCAGGAGCGGCTGCAGTGCCACGGGAACCAGCAGCAGCAACGCCAGCAGCAGCCGGATCAGTGGCAGCAGCAGCAACGGCAGCAGCAAATTGTCTCGATGAAATTCGGGGACTCAGCAGGGCCCCCTACCTCTTTTCCTGGGCAGCAGATGGCTGCTGCTGCTGCTGCTGCTGCAGCCAGAGGCCAGCCAACGAAGCTTGCCTTGGAGCTGCTGCTAGCTTAACACGGGCGCCCTCAGCAGCTGCTGCTGCTGCGCTGCTGCTGCTGGGGCCCACGTCTTCGCCGCTGGGGCCCCAAACGCGGCTGCTGCTCTTGAAGCTGCCGCAGCAGCAGCAGCAGCCGCAGCAGGTGGCACCAAGAGGCCGGGAGGCGGTGCAGATGACTCTGTTTCCTGTTCGCCTGCTAACAGGCCAACAGTGCAGCAGCAACTGTGCTGCAGCAGCCACTGCTCCAAGCCAGGCCAGCAGCAGCAGCCGCTGCGGCAGCCACTGCAGCGGCAACGGCAGCAGCAGCAGCAGCAGCAACCCTACAGTTGTTGACGCGAAGGAATTTGTTGGATGGTCCGCTGTGGCGTGCGGAGGCCGTCGGGGGGAGCCTTCGGAGCTAGGTGGAGCAGCAGCAGCAACAGCAGCAGCAGCAGCAGCAGCAGCAGGATCAACAGCAACAAGAGCTGCTGAGGCTCTTATAAACGGAAGTCCTTTTATACTTCTGTTTGGAGGCCAGTGGAGGGATCCTTTGGGCCGGTGGTTTTTCAACACTGCTGCTTTGCTGTTGCTGCCAATACCTCCAAGTCAGCCACAGCGAACTGCAGCAGCAGCAGCAGCAGCAGAAGGGGCAACAGCAGCAGCAGCAGGGGCAGGAGCACTTGCTGCTGACGCAGGCACTGCTGGCGGTGCCCTTGCTGCTGCTGCAGGAGATCGCGAGGCGGAATCAGCAGTAGCAGCGGCAGCAGCAACAGCAGCAGCAGCGGGGGATTGTAAGGAAAGTTGCGGTCAAGGCGAATGGACTTTGGTGGAGTTGAGCAGCAGCGCAGGCAGCAAAGTGCTGCAGCGGTCTGCTGCTGCTGCTGCTGCTGTCCGCGTCAGCAACACTGCAGAGCTGCTGCTGGTGAATGGCGGCAGCATCATCGGGCAGCAGCAGCAGCAGCAGCAGCAGCGCAGCAGCTCGAAGTTCAACCAAAACGTGCAGTGTGAGCTCACAGACTCAACTGTTGCTTTGCTGCTCTCCCCACAAAGCGTCACTGACGCAGCAGCAGCAGCAGCAGCAACAGCAGCAGCAACCACACAATCTGTGGGTTCACTGCCTCTCCTGGACATTCAGAAGCTGCAGGGGCTTATTGCTGGACCTTCACCCTGCGCGCGCATGGGGTACGGTTGCTCTTTGCTGTTTGCTGCTGCTGCTGCTGCTGTTGCAGCTGCTGCTGCTGTTTTGTTTCCGCGATGAGGCTGTAATTTCCCGTGGCTGCGTTTCGTAGCGTTTTTTAAAGCTGAGCCTTCTAGCGAACGCACTCTCTTGCTGTCATTGCCATCCATCTGCTGCTGCTGCTGCTGCCGCTGCTGCTGCTGCTGCTGTGCAGACACTCCATGGCTGCGCTGCGGCGCTGCAGCGGCGGCTTCAGCTTTTTCCTCTTTGGGGGAGTTGATGCTGAGGGCTGTGCCCTTACAGACCTTTGGGAACTCCGCCTGTGCCTACTCCCAAGCAGCAGCAGCAGCAGCAGCAACAGC